GTTTCGAGTGCTGCGCGTGTGTGTAAATATTTTTTTGCAATTAATTTTGAGCGGCTTATAATTTACTAATTTAGTTTTTTGTTAGCTGCAGCACCGAAAAGTTTGTGCCACAAAAATTTTACGGCTTGGCAAAAGAACACAGAGAAAAACCGTTGGCGGACAAGCAGCGAGTTTTGGGAAGTAAAGAGAGAAAAGCAAATATTTTCTGTAGAATGAATGAAACTTTACGTGCAAATGTGTAAAGTTCTCGGCACTTATAGCCCTATCTCTTTTACAGGCACTGCCACACACACACACACACACACACACACACACACACTGGCAGTTGGGCAAAGAATAATGTGTGGACTAACTCTGAGGCAGCACCCAAAGCCAAACCAGTTGAGAATTGCTTGTGCCAAAAAAAAAAAAAAAAAATAGGAGACCAATGCAGAGATGAGATGAAATCCGAAATATAATTAAATTAATCAAAACATGTCTGCATATCATATAACTAACTAACCAAATGCTGCACGTTTGCATTGGAATGGAAATAAAAGTGAGTAGTTGGCCAAAAAAGCCAACCGCAGACCCAAACAAGCACAAACACAAACATAGGCAGAGGCACAGGCAGAGACACACATCAGCAAGCACAACAAGGGAGCGCAAATTCAAATTTACCAAATGCGGTAAAAGAATTTCAAGTCGAGTGCTGTTGCTGCCTTGCCATTTATGCATACCACTCATATATATTACAATTTTCATATTTATTTTTATACATTTTTTTTTTTTTTGTTATTTTTGTTTTTGGTCCCAAAAACTAAAACTAATTTGAAAAACTAGTACGCATGTGTTTTATGTGTGATTTTTGCTCATTTTTAGCGGCAATGCCATTTGCCTTTTTTGTGTGCGTGTATTTACAGGCATGTAAACACATGAGAGCACACGCACACACACAAACACACACACACGTACACACATATAGGGAGGACCACTTTAGTGGGTGTTTCGTTCGTTGGTTTTAGTTGTGAGCTTGACAGCATTTCAATAGAATTAACACATACGCGCGCACACAAACACACAAAGCCAGTGAATGGGGCAGGGAAGCAGGGAGCCTGCGCAAAAGGACCTCGGCTTTGGCAAGAAAATTAAATAAAATTATAAATAAAAAATGGTAGAAACGAAAAAGAGACCTCACAAAAAGCACCATAACGAAAGGTTCCTACCATGAAAAGTGCGCATTTATAGTGCCAGCCACGTTGCATGGGGCGTATACGCAATGTGCAAGAGAATTTCAAGTGGGTCGGATGTGCGTGTGTGTGTGTGTGTGAGTTTGTTTGTATTACATATTTTTTAAGGGGTTTTTATAGCTCTTAATGTGTGCTGAATGTGTGTGTGTGTGTGCGAGTGTTTGTATGCTCGCTAGCACTTGACAAATTCTTGCAGTTTTGCGAGCAACGTGTGCTCCACACGCTTCCACGATTTCAGTTTGCGCCTGACGAAAGCGACAAGAGCCCTTCTCACACTTGGCTGAAACCTAATTAAACTGCTCATCGGGTCTCCACCAGCATTCAAAGTGCATTTGCACACGACTCCCACTCGGAAACGGCCCGCGACTGTTGCCATAAAAGCTACGCCACCAAATGCAGCAAGCCGATCTTTCAGCTTATCGACAGCAGGAGGCTGCAACGCCTTATCAGCGGCATTGCCTTTTGCAATGATCCTGATGGCGATGAGCTAGCTCAACGTTTTAATAAGGCATTGACGAGCCAAACGGCAAGCCTGAAAGCAAATGGGCAAATTTCATACAAGGCTTTAAATAAATTGCTGCCAAATGCAGCAGCTTCACCAGCACCCAGAACGTTGCCCAGACGACCAGATACAGCAGACACGGCGCAAACGGTCCTTTAGCGGCTTCTCGTTGCCGGGCTAGCAAGCCAATGACTGACTGACAATCACTTAAGTAGAAACCGATAAAAATCTTGAATCCAGCAGACGAAGACAAGGCAAAGACAAGCCAAGCTCCCAACTGGAAAACTGGACACCAGGCCAGGCACCAGAACAACAGAACAACAAAACAACAAAACAGAAAAGCAGACGAGCTGGAAGATTGAAAGAATGAAGCAATGCCCAAGCAACCAGCCAAAGTCATGACCAACACAGCAACAACACATCCGACATTTATGGATATTGAAGCTTATAGACAGGCAGTCGATACGCGCCGCAGGTGGGGCGGGGCAACGGGACGGTTAACAGCAGATACAAAATAGTCTGCCGAACATAGCCATTGTTGCATAGAAGCTGAAACTGGTTTGGTTTGTTTCGGTTTGGCGACTTGCGGGAAAAATGAAAAATATACATATTTCTTATGGAAGAAAACTGCGGTCAACGCTGCTTCTCAGCATTGGTCAAGAGGTCAGCTGTAGCAGCTGCGGCAAACGGGTTAAGAAATTTTCCAGCATGTCTCCAAAGTCAGTTAACGAAGGATCGCTTAGAATTAACATATTGTTACGAATACATATTTAATTAAATATGTGTTCATAGTCGGAAGTGTGAGAATAGATAAGTATGTATACGTTCAGCGGGTATTAATCGGCTTTGACCGGGTCGAGGAATTTTTATTTCTTTTAATTTTAGATGTTAACATAAACATTTTTTATTTGCAAGAGCTATTCAATTTTATTGTGAAAATTGCGAAACTCAATGTAAATCAATTTTGGGAGATATCTTTTAGAATGTGTCTGGAGCCAATTTGGATAGCGTTGATCTATATTTAATTAATCAGGAAGAACAGTATATATATTAAATCTTCAACATATCGACTCTCATCTATAGACAAGCTATGTGACGGAAAAGTATGGAAATGAGTCGGGGAAAAAAAAACGCGGCACGCGCCATTATATATGACACAATTTACAAACAGAGCAGGAGCGCGGGAAATACATATATTTAGTTCTTGGGCCCACTTGCCACACACATTCTACGGCCACCTTTGCAACTGGCCATAAAAAAGTCAGAAAGGTACTCGTGGAATTTCTTTGCCTGTTGGCAAGTACCGTCACCCTAGCATAAACTCTCTCCTCCCATTGCTTTGTGTTATTGTGAGAAATTGTATTGTAAGGTGCACAAGAGCCTATGTGTGTGATATGTTTGTGGCACAGCTGTTGGGTCTATATTTATGCGACCTACTACTACTTATATATTTGAACTCCTTTGGGTCGCCTGGGCTAGCTCCTGTGCATGTGTACAACAATTGCGTGCTTTATAGTCTTTGACTTTGGAGCTATTGTGGGGCAACGCCCAGTTTCGCTATAAATATCATACACAATTATTTGTAGTCGCTGCAGTGGCTTATCTTGAGCAGTCTGTTAAGATCCTCTGGTCCCCAGCAAAATCTCGAATAGTGTTTAAGAACTAAGAAATTACTGTGAAAATACACAAAGGAATTCGACAAGCCAATAGAAGAATTACAAATAACAAATGTGGCAATGTCATAAACTGGCGAACAGTTCCGCGGCCAAGTCGAACAAATTGCGCCAAAGCATCTGCAAAAATGCATTGCTCTTGCTGCGGCTCTGGCTGTGCTTCTGGCCACGATACACCAGAGAATTGATGTCATTTCGAATGTAGAATTCCTGCTAGAACATGTGTCCAGGCCGTGTACGTGCCGCTTGCGCAGCTGCGGACCGAAGGCTGACTGGCAATCAGGGGCGGGTAAATAAATAAAAACTAAATAAATTATTGACATAATATTAAGGCATAGTCAGGCAGAGAGATGAGATGATGCCGGTTATGACCGCAGTCGTAATTGATTTTCAAAGGGCTATTAGAGAGACAAAAAGGACAGGAGATGCTCTGCGCCAGTCGTGTCTCCTGTGTCAACTCGGGCAAATAAAATATAATTGTAATTGCAAAAGACAAAAGATCAAAAGGATAGACAAGCAGACGGGCAGACACACGGACACAGGCAGGCAGACATCGAGTCAGTCTGTTCTGTTCTGTTCTGTCCTCTGCCAGTTGGCTGCGTCCACTCCCAGACTTGGTTTCTAAAGTTGCGCATCAACTTGAGAATCGACAAATATAAAACAATAATCATAATATTGAGGATGATAATGACGCTGCCATTCGGCTAACTGCAGATACAATTGTATCTGTGTCTCTTCGTCGTTCGCCGCCTCTGGCTTGAGTATCCCGCCAGAGTCCTACAGAGTGCTCGGTGTCCCAGCACTCAAGTGCACAAAACACTCGTTAAATGTGCCAAAGTAAGAAATGTTCCTTCTGCTTTTAACTGCCGTATTCGTGTATTGATTTCAACTTTTCCAAGGGTTTTGTGTTTATGTCGTTTGCCTGTCCCGTCCCACACCTCGTACACCTTTCGCCTGTCAACGCCGCTGAAGCTGGAGCTGGAGCTGGAGCTGAGACTGCAGACTAGGCTCTTGGATAGTCGTTTCGCTGTTGTCAAGTATTTATGCTAAGAGCTGTCAAACAAGTTGTAGTTACATTGATTACAAGCGCGACTGCAGCACCTTTTTCCTCTATAGGAGAATCTTTTTAATGTGATTGCATTACTTACTCGAGCCTGTTGGCTCTTGGGCAGCTGCCGATTGCATCTGGGCATTGCCAATGCGAACCTGCACGCCCACTGGGAATTGATAAAGCTGCCTAATAGCGATTTTTTGTTCTTTTCATATGGCCAAAGCAGATGGTACTCGAATACGCGCACTTGCAATATGCATTCAGTTTAAGTACCTGCGACTTAAACAACAATCAAATAACCCTAGTTCTAATACAATTGCAGAGATAACTATAGCTGATCCTTTTAAAAAACTTTTCTTAATTCAAACGCGATTGAAGTTTGTCGTCCTGGTAAATATAAGCTTTAAGAAACTTATAAATGTTTTATTCTGTGAAAACCAATTTAATTCTTTTAAATCGTTTACCTACAGAGTTTTGTGACAATCACTTCCTTTGATTTCTCATCCGAACAAACAGTTGGCTAAGCTTATTTAGTTCGTCTTTCTGCTGATTTCGGTTCAAAATATATTCAGGCACCCTGCAGGCCTTTACAGTGTGTATTGTTTACCGGCTCTAAAAAATTTACATAGCCTACCATTCGATAGAAAATAGAGTGGAGAAATACTTGCAATTCGGCGCCAATTATTTTGAACAAGCAACAATAAAAGCAATTTGCAGCCTGAGAACGAGGGCCAACTGCAGCATATGCACATCCACACCCAAACATACACACACATTAAAACACAATTAGAATAAATTTTCGCACAACTGAGGCCCCGCACCGAAGCGATCGCAAAGTCGAGTTGATTACACGAAACGCGCCCACGCCTCCAGCTAAAGAATGAAAACTATAAAGTAAGGTCCCGGGGCGAACATACGTTCCGGCTAGATAATACCAACCGATACGAGGAAAACAAATGATACGAAAACTAGCCCTGGCAGTCTGGGAAAGGCAGCTGTAACAGTTTTTCATGCGCATTTTCACCAATTTCCAATAGGCAGACACGCAATTTTGGACCGTGGCAACGCACGAAACCTGCACCGGGCTTTGCTCTGGCTCCGGTAATGAGACGACGTCGCCACGGTAGGGTAAGAGGTAGGTGCTTGGTACGCGTTGTTGCCACGAGCCCGATGAGGCAGCTAAGGCTATTCTCTCATAGGTTTTCATTTTCGTGGATTTTGTTTTTCTATTTTCATGTTTTTTTTTTCTTTCTGTTTTGGCTGCTTTTGTTTTCCTCAACGACGTCGACAGCGAATATGTTGGCACTGTTTTGGCACACATGGCAATATGGGTATCGACAACAACTACAGAAAACGCTGGCAACTTGGAGGCCACAAAAATCCTTTGCACAAAACACGCACATCGCTGATGGGCGCTCCCCTCCGCCGCCCGACCTCTTTCCGGGCCACGCGCCTTCACCAAGCCTCGTTATCTAGCTGGCAGCCCATAATGGGCTACGCATATGAGAAAGTAGGATGTGTGCCACAATGCCATAAGAGAAGGGGCACGCGATGGCACGGTTCAGTAAGGCAACAAAATATATTCAATAAATTCTGTCAAAGGCATTATGGAAAATGCTTTCTCGTACGAGTGCGAAAGCAAGGCTTGTCAGTGCCAATGCCAGATCAGATCAACAGCTCATTTATCGATCGCATATTAGATAGAGCTCGATAGCATACATAAAAATGTAGCAACATCTAAGCCCGACCAGTATCAGCCCATAATTCCCTGACACACGTAATTAATCTGCTTTTCTGTGCTGGCATTCTGGTTTTCCCACTTTCCAATTGGCGGTAATGTGAGGCTTCTTCTTGGGGCAGATAACCATGTAAGTGACTTGTCATCCAAAGTTTGGGTCATTTTATGGCCCTGTCTACAAGCTTGTTGGGCCCATAAAAACAGAGAGTCAAGGCGACGCATAGATAAACATGAATGAAGCGACATTCCGGCCTCATCAGGCTTAACCTTTCCAGGCACGTACCACAAAAACACACTCACATCTATATATATAAAATCTATGACTAAACTCAACCAAAGTTGAACGACATTAAAACGCAGCGCAGGAAAATTAAATTTTTTTTTGTGTTCCGCAACGCACATAAAAATTAAAATAAATACAGCACTTATAAGTAACGGTCGGAGGAGTGGGGAGAACAGTGTAAAAGCCCGTAAAAAGTATAAGACGCGGAAGAGGAGGCCAATGTAACCAATGGAATGTGTTCTGTGCGCCGACTGTCGGCTCCCTCAGCGAACTATTAACGTCGCCTACAAGGCGTCACGTAGGTGGAAAAACTGAAAAGCCAACCGACTGGCGAAGACTGGCGAATAATATGGGCAAAAATTATGAGACACGCCGAATGGCGACAGGCAAATAGCAGCTAAATTGGATGAAGATTTAAATGGAAGGGTAGCGAGTCGCTGGCTAGAGATAAGCGAAACATTGGAGTATTTGGAAAATTACTGGAACCGTTGCGGCGGCGGCAGTTTTGTTTATAATAAATGAAGTTAAATCTATTACAATTCTCGCTAATATGTGAAGCGCGTGGGCTCGCTAACGGTCCTTACAAGCCCCAACAGCAACAGCAACAGCAAAAGCAACAATCGATTACAATCTGGCTGCTTGTTAAATTGCAAGAGTTGGCTGAAAGTATGGAACCAGCCAAGGAGCCAACGGACCAAGCAACCCGTTCGAGAGTTGGCTCTGCCAATTTTCTGTTTGGCATTTGCCGTTTGGCTCATACGTGGCCGGGCCTTGTTTGGCGCAGCTCTAACCATAGGCTGGCCCGGCTAGCTGATGGGCAGCAGCAACAAAAGCCAGCAATGGACCCAGCCACCGACCAACAGACCGAAAGACCGAACGACCGGCCGACGGACCGACCGATGGGGCCAATAAGCCGACGCTTGCTAACAGCAAAAAAAAATAAAGGAAAAATTTCGTTGGTTTTTCTTGGCATCGCTTTTTGGGAAATTGCGTTTCTTGTTCTGCGCCCCGGCACCAGCTCCTGCAGCACCTCCTTCGCCGGCTCCGTCACATTGTGTAGTTGCCTTAAGCTGCACAGTTCTCTTTGATTATGGCGTTGGGTCACTCTCCACATTTGATGGTCCGAGGCCTCATACAAAAGGGTCGCTATACCAGAAACACTAGCGTATGTGTGTGTGTGTGTGCGTGTGTGGGTTGCATTGTGCGCGTTACGACTTGGCCAAATGACTTTTTGGCTGGCAAATTGCGTTGCTTGGCATAAAGAACAATGGCTACGCACTCCATATAGCAACCCTTTTCGGTTTTATGTTCCATTGAGATTTCATCATAAACCTCTGACAAGGCTGAGAGGCATCTAGATTGGGCTGCATCTATCAAATCTTTGCTGCCAAGCCCGTAAATTCCCTCACCGATCGTAAGCGCTTATGATTGCCTCGCCTCACCTCGACTACTCCGTGTATCTCGCTCGCACCATCTCTCAGTTGCAGCTCATTAAAAGTCTGTAAGTTTTTTCGCCAGTTTTATTTTCATTTCGATAAAAACGCAGCCCACGTCACAAAGCCATTGCATGTGCCGAGCAGAGCCCCGTTTGCCCCTCGCTAATGAAATGTTATTTCATTTTACTTTTTTCTTCTTCTTTTTTTGTGATATTATTATTATTTTTTTTTTTGCTGAATGCCTTGTGGCTGCAATAGCTGGCTCTTCTTTCCCATATAAATTGCTCAATTCAAGGCAAACACCGCACCTCAAACGAGCAGGAGATGCTGCTGCCTTGGACTGGTTGTTGTTGCTGCTGCCGCTGCTGCTGCTGCTGCGGCTGGGTGCAGCTCACGCAAGCGGATGGTCGTCTGAGCGGCGACACCTACGCAGCGAACGCAAATTACAGCAACTTGGAGCAGCGGACCACTGTGCATGTAGCGCCCCTCACTTTGCCGCTTTCACTTCCTATCTGGTTTCTAAGCATGTGTGGCAGCTGCAATTAAAGTAAATAAGCTCGCGCTGTCTCAAAGACTCTGCCTTTTGCCCTTCCCGCCTACGTCTATCTGGGCCAATGCAAAACAAGCAATTTTCGCTCATCAGCGACAAAAGTGCCAACGCCCACGCCAACGCCAGAGAGCAGAGCAGCTGCGAGGAGCGTCTACAGAGTAACAAAAAATGGTCAACATGACAACGTTGACATGCGACATTAAAAGCCAAGACTTAGAGGCAGAGACAGAGACAGAGCTGAAGTTTGAATGCGATTCGATTGGATCCTAGGACCATTGCGTGCCTATCGAGCTGGACCCGGCCGCCGTACTCAAGAGAAATGTTCGCAATACACGCAAAAAATCGCAGCGCATTCAAATCACGGCGTGTGCGTGCAGCACGGAGCAGCTAGCAGGCGGTTGGCGGGGCGAGCGGCGAGCGGCGAGAGCAAGGGCAAACAAGCATGTTATCAAATAATGTTGCAAATGCTTCGTTGCCGCCACAAATTGCCAGGCGGCGATACGCAGCCGCAGCCATGAAAGTCGCGCGTCAGGCAATTTAAATAAATAATTAATTCCCCTCAATTAAGCACAGCGCAAGGGCAGTGTGTCGACTGGCCATTTGTTTGCCAAGTCAACTGCCTGAGATTGAGTCGACCCAACTGGAACTGGAGCTAAAACTGGAACTGGCACTGGGACACGGGAAATACTGAGACAAAGAGTTTCTACGCTCTTGGAGATTAGCTTTCAGATTAACAAATAAGATTTGCAGCCAGTGTATCTCTTTTCCAGCTATCCATCAATAGGCGAATCCTTATGCCGAGCACAATTCAGGCGGCTGCTAAGATTTTGGAACGCTTGCCGCGGACGCAGCGCTGAGATTTCTCCACCGCAGACGCCGGGATTTGTTTAGCGCGACGCTTGCCAGAACATTGGCGTCCACGTCGCCAGACTCTGCCCTGCGACTGGCTCTTGTCTGGCTGGTATTCAGTTGGGTCTGCTGCGAGGCCAGCTACGCCCCGACAGCTAATTTTATATTCAATGCACGCAACAGTCGCCGCCGCTTAGTTTATATACTCCTTTTTTTGCTCCCTCTCTCTCAAGTCAAAGCGGAGTCTTTGCCTTTTGTTTAAATTTTTCTTCTTCGCCGTGCCTTTTTCTTTTCACAGTTTTTGTGTCTTTTTTTCTGCCTCGGACTCTGCTGCTTGGCTTCGTTTTTTTTTTTTTGTTCCAACTCCATAAATTCTCCAAAAACTATTTATGCTGCACATAGTTTTTGCATGGCTCGGACTAATTATGCAGCTGGATTTCAATTTATGCCCCAAGCCCAGTCTGCCAGTCTCTCAGTCCTGGGACTCGTCTCATAGTCCAGCACAGTTCCTGGCTAGGGCTAATGTATGCGTGGGTGGCGCCATAGCCGGGGCTTTAAGGCAGCCTTATAGCCGTCGGCCATAATTCATGGGGCTCGAGCGACGGCGTCTGTTTTGAAATTGAAAGAAAATAATTATGAGGCAGCGGAAATTGAATTTCTTATTACAGCCAGCCGAGAAGGACTTGTCCGTGGAGCTGTGACTTGAGCCGGGCAACGCCAGCAACAGCAACGGCAACAGCAGCTCCGGCATGGAAGTGCTTGCAAATTAATTAAAATCCATAAAGTCGATGGCATACCCATAGCTCTGGGGGCCAAATTTCACAGCCATTGCAGCAAGCATTTCGATTGCCAATTTGAATTTCAATTCGACTTCGAATTCAACTGCTTTAGGTTCGCTTCGGTCAGAGGTCAAGGTTGTGAAGCGTTGTGTTTCGTTGTGTATTGTATTCTGATTTATCGAGGGGCGCGCCACTTTTGGAAGTCATGCATATTTCATTGGCCACACTACTTCTCCCGCACTTGAATCTTGGTCAGCCAGCGGGCATTCGTTGGAGTCAGGGCTATAAAGTCTAAGCCTAATGGCATTTTAAGTGAATTGTGCTTTAGTCGCGCCTTAGTCATATTTGATACTAACTACATATTTTAAAAGATCTGACGCTTTCTCAACCGTTTCCTGCTTTGCGTCTGCTCCGACTGCATTGTTAAGATGCCACTTTGAGGTGCATTCCACATGCCACACTCCCTTGTTCCATTTTAAATATCCCTCTTATTAGTTGATCGAAAAACTTCTCCGATCCGTATACCATATAGAGCTCAACTATTTGCTCACTTGACAACACAAAATTGATTAGTATTTTCCATTTTTTACTTGCCGCACTTCTGTGAAAACTGCAACTCAAAATAGCCCCCTTCACACCTAAACAGAGGCACTGGCTCTGCCACCGTCGTCCCTACGCGCCCCGCTCGGGGCCACAGCCACAAATTACAAATTGAAAGTAGTTTGTATCTGCCGCTGCCGCTGCCACTGCCACTGCTACCCCTGCTGCTGCTGCTGCGGCTACTCCCGCCGGCAGTAAAAAATTTAAGTGCATAAGCAAAGTAGCTGCGGTATTCGCGGTGGCGGTGGCGGTGGCGGCGGCTGCGCTGCCTTTGCCCCGGGGCTGGGCGCAATTTAGGGCTATGCTTGAGACGATGCAAGCGTAAGGGAGGGATGGATAGGGAAATGTGCAGAGCATGTTATGCACTTTTCCTGCGGCTACCGAAAAATGTACACACACAACAATAACAGAGAAACGGGGAAACTTCTAAGTGGCCAGCCGTGGCCAAAGGAGCCCAGCAGCCAACCGGGCACTTGAAGCGCAGACCCCGATCCAGCAGTCCCGCTGACCTGCCTCGAATCGTCGTCATTGTCTTTGTCTTCGTCTTGGCTATTGTTTCATTCATGAAACTGTTTGGGATGCTGGCCCTTAAGTTGTTTTTTTGGCTGCCTGCCCGAAAGATTTCGTGTCTCTGTTGTATTGCCTGAAGCGAGGCAGGGGCAGGCAGTCTAACGCTAACCCATAATTTGCGCTGGGCTCGAGCTGCGAGACACTAAAGCAGATGCAGAGCGGAGCAGAGCTGTGAGCATGTAAACCGTCTTCGACAACGAGCGATTATCATTTCGAGCTCAGTTTTTGAAAGGTAACATGTTAGATACGACGTACGAGTGGGCATAGAAGAAGCGTTCAGTAATATGTCGTCTTCGTATCTGT